TATTTGCATATAAAATACGAAAATATATACAAGTGACCTACAAGTAGAATTAATACATGCTATCCTAAAATTAATATATACAGATAATGAATGAATTGAAGATTAAAATGTCTATTCTATTTGTGCTTCAACAATTAAACAAGTTAAGTAAAAAGTCTAGTGACATTTATGCGCAATTTCCTTATGTTATCTAAAAATAGCTCTGACGTATAATGCTAGGGTGCGTTCAAGCTAGGAGAACGATCGGTTTGTAGGTGTTTATGTAATTTTAAAATTTGTGACCGAACGAAAGGATATTTTTGAAAACTTTCTTCGGCAATATTGTTCTAAATTATGACAGGAATCGATCGGTACATGTTTCAATTCGCTAAGTGGTCTGGTTGCCGAGATATGGGCCAAAAACTGCATTTTTCCGAGTTTTTTTGGCTTTTCCGGGAAATCCATGAAAGAAACCCGGAATTTTTTTAGCCTATGTTCATCCTCGTAACTTGCTTAACATAATTGCTTTGGAACTAGTCCTCAATATTGCTTGAGGAGATACGACTTAAAGCTGCGGACACACATTCATGCATACATTCATACATCCAGAAATGACGGGTTAATAAACGCAATTCTCCAGAATGGAAATTGCGCTAAAAAATATTATCATACACTATTGTGGGTAAAGTTTTCATAACCAACATCATATTTATAGAATTTATCTCCTGAATGATTTTTTTTTTGTGTGCCTACTTAAACTAGAACTAAGTGAAAATCCTTTCTGACAAAAATCACATTCATAAGGCTTAACCACTAAATGATTTTTTTTGTTTGATTAGAGTAGAACTGTCTGAAAACATTTTATGACAAACATCACATTCATTTGGGTTATCTCTTGAATGAACTCTTTTATGTCTATTAAAAGGAGACCTGTTTGAAAACTTTTTATGACAAACATCACATTCATATGGTTTAACTCCTGAATGAACTCTTTTGTGTGTATTAAAATTAAAACTGTCTGAAAACATTTTATGACAAACATCACAAAAACAAGCACTGCCGTTTTGACACTTATGCGACGTTTAATTTGATTACTGATGTTGGTGTTCAATTAAACAGCCCCTTACCCATCCATCACTCGTCCATTTAAACGTACGTGGTTATTTTTGCAAGCTTGCTGTCTTGAGACTTTTGGTTCTTTAAAAATGTATTAGTATTAAGCTCCTACCGTATAGAACTAGACTACCCATATTAAGCTCTAAAAGAAGCTTGGGGAAAACTGCATGGCCGTCCGATTTTGAAGCTGCTCTGCGCTTTATAAATAAATTATAGTTCTGAATCTTGATACATTAAAAGTGATATTCAACATATTTCAATTCGAAGTCGAAGTAATTTTTTTTTTCTCAAACGATGGAACATTACTAACTTTTCGCGCAGTTTAGCGAATTGAATTTAAGTATTTACGTCATCTTACAAAGCGCGATAGCCTACTGGAGCTCTAACGCGGCCCCATGCTAATGGCTGTATTCCTAACGCCCCGCATTAGACGCGGCTTATTCGTCGGCAGTATTACGAACGCTATTCTGTCAGTCGCAGAGCTAGCGAACGCCCGGTTTCGTTTTGAGATGGCTAATGACAGATGTCAACTACTAAAGAGTACAAAACAAACTCAACGTGGGCTCGTGAATAAAATCTAGGGGAATAACACGCTAAACTGATATGACTCACAGCAATTTTAATATGTCAAAGACCTTTTAATATACGTACAGGAATAATGAGTGACACTAGGGCTGTACAAAATAATATAGAATCTAAGAGTAAAAAATAAACCAAAACCCACTTTACAGTTGATGAAAAATCACTAGGTTACAAATATCACAGTCAAGGACTATTCTATAGTCAATAGCCACCTGGATCCTAAGCGGGGGATTCGCATCCCTGCCGCCGCCATAAGCGCGCGAAATCCATACCGCTGCCGCCATGAGCGCGCGGAATCCATACCACTAGACCACCCTGGGTCGGTCATAGATCCTCGGCGGGGAATCGAACCCCAGCCGCCGCCGTGAGCGCGCGGGATCTTAACCACTGGACCTCCCAAGCGTCGATTACATAAACTAAAAACTAAATTATATAAAAAATAAGACCTAAGTAGGTCACAGCAGGCATTTGGTGGCAAGCCTTTTCGACGGGGATGTGTTGACGCCGTTTTGCCAAACGTCTCAAACTAGCAGGCTTGCAACATTTATGATGGTTCGTTTTGAGCTTATTTATCGTTACTTTGATTGAACAAAGCATTATAGAGGTTTTCCATCAATCACCTTGGTATTTTTCCCTGTTCACCTCATCTCATGAGACCGACACGTCATAAATATTGGGGAGCCGCCTGAGTTGACGTCACAAATCTTCACTTTCCCGTAGCAAATCATATGTGACATCATTTATGGACCACCCCATATCACTCATTTGGGCATTTTATATTGACATTTTGACAACAAAGGGTAACCAAAATGTGTCTGACAGGTGGAGACTTGGGATCGACCATAATGATATACGCACTTAAGGTGTGGAGTGGCTGATTGTTTTAGTTGATGTTTTTCGGGGAACGGTGGTGACTAATACATTTTGTCTTTCTGTATATATAAATGATGATAAACATTTATTGTTGTCAAAATTATGGTTAGAGATCTTAGATAAGGCAGAGTGAAGCGTATTTTTTTACATTATGACTTGTTGTGACATTGACAAAAAAAATATGATGGAGGTTGGGGTTTAATTAAGGTAAAGAGAAGTAAAAAAAATTCATAAGTTACGATAGAATCACTAATTGATGAAAAGAAAAACCAGAAATGAAAATAGTAAACATTCAAACAATAAGAAAAAACTCCAACTATATAGTATCAAATAAACATTAGTACAAAAAAAACGTGATTTTATACATGGATACAAGTTGCATCTCACAATACTTCTAGAATTAATAAAGTTGTTTGTTAGGAAATTCAGTTTTTAAAGGGCAGAATTTAAAAACAAGTTAATAAAAAGTCTAGTGACAATTTAAGCGCAATTTCCTTATGTTATCCATAACAATTTTAAATCGAGATAAATCATATATTCAGCAAATAAATAATGCAACACAAGTAGTTTCAATAATTCAAAACAAAATAGAAAAAATCCTTTCGAACCTCCGCTCATTCGCTATGGTAAAATCCTTTCGAACCTCAGCGCTTTGCGCTAAATCATCCTAGGCCTACACGACGCTAAGTTTAAAAATTCTTAATTAATTTTTTGTGGCCGAAAGAAAGGAAATTTTTGAAAATTTTCTCCGGCAATATTGTTCTAAATTATGGCTGAAATCGATTGGTAAAAGTTTCAAGTCGCTAAGTGGTCTGGTTGCCGAGATATGGGCCAAAACCTGCATTTTTTCGAGGTTTTTGGCTTTTCCGGGAAATCCAGGAAGAAATTCCGGTAATTTTTTTAGCCTATGTTCATCCTCGGAACTTGCTTAACATATTTGCTTTTGGAACTAGTCCTCGATATTGCTTCGTTGAGGAGGAGATACGACTTAAAGACGACTTAAAGCTGCGGACACACATCCATCCATACATTCCCAGAAATGACGAGTTAATGAACGCAATTCTCCAGAATGGAAATTGCGCTAAAAAATGCTTTGTATGGCGGACTAAACAACAAGACAATCATATTTAAATACATTTTCATACGAATAGAATTGAAATGGAAGCTACTCTAAATAACATTTTCTTAAGATGGCTGCTGTTTTTAATAGCAAATTTACTATCTCGAACAGGGTTGATAAAAATTAATTTCAGGATATTTAAATTGATTTAACCATCAGTGGTGATCTATTATTCAATTATCTATAATATTTTATTAAAATATACGAAAATAAACTCATATTTAAAGACATATACATTAAATGACTCTCTCCCACATTACTAGTTTTGGCCGAATTTACGACGCTAAACTAAGGTTTTACCTTTTCAAACTTACATCTTGCGAAAATATTATCATACAGTATTGTGGGTAAAGTTTTCATAACCAACATTATATTTATAGAATTTATCTCCTGAATGTTTTTATTTTTTGGTAAAATCTTAGTTTAGCGTCGAAAATTATCGGGTAATGTTTGTTGAGTTTCGGTATCTAGAGTTACGGTAAACCATGGTTTATTTGACCATTGAAATATAGGCCTAAATAAATTGAAAGTCGATTGTAGTAAATTAATGTTTTAATTTTTTAAGTTTAATAGACAAAAGGAAAAAACAATAAATATAATAGTAGATTTAAATTAGTAGATCTAAAAATAAAGAAAAAACATATATTAATATGAATAATGAAGTCAAATATAATAATTTTATGTTTTAGTCTTGCAGCGGATTTGCAACCATTAATTAATTAGATCTAGCTAGCTGCTAGGCCAAGTAAAAAAATCTAGATTACGAAAATAGTAATAATTATTACAAAGATGTAAAAATGATTACAAAAAGAGTAAAAGTGACAAGAAATAGGGTTCGTACACTATTTTGAAAATGAAACAAGACCTTTGTAACCACACCATCATTTGTGCTTATAGCTGAGAAACTTTTGTGTGCTATTAAAAACTACCGGTACACCCCCCCCCCCCCCCCCAACAAGAGACGGCAGAGGGTTCACTGTGAGGTCACAGTAGACCAGTCAAATACGTCATATCATGAACTGTACCGTAACTTTTATTCCCCCCTCCTCCCTCACCTAGCCAAACAGCACCATCTACGTACTTGGGGTCACGTTAGTTCATACAAGTTTAGATATCAGTGACCTTATTTACTATGAGGAGCGGGTTAGTATAGCAGTAAACGTTTTCACGGTCAGTCAAGCAACAACAAAAAAATGACGCCAAATAAAGTATGGTTTTCAAGACTTCCGGTGGGTACCGGAACTGTGTGACAGACTTTGCCATTGTTTTACTGTTTTTTTTACTGCTATACCATTCCGGAATAATAAACGACGCTAAACTAAGGTTTTACCTTTTTTTGTGCCTACTTAAACTAGAACTAAGTGAAAATCCTTTTTGACAAAAATCACATTCATAAGTAAGACTTAACCACTAGATGATTTTTTTGTGTTTGATTAGAGTAGAACAGTATGAAAACTTTTTATGAAAAAAAATCACAATCATATGAATTACCTGCTGAATGAATTCTTTTGTGTCTATGACAATTAGAACTGTTTAAAAATCTTTTATGACAAACATCACATTCATAAGGCTTAACACCTAAATGAATTTTTTTGTGCGTGCTTAGAGTAGAACTGTGTGAAAAATTTTTATTACAAACATTACATTCATACGGCTTAACCATTAAATGAATTTTTTTGTGTTTGCTTAAGGTAGAACTGTTTGAAAACCTTTTATGACAATCATCACATTCATAAGGCTTAACCCCTAAATGAATTTTTTTGTGATTTCTGAAACTAGAACTGTCTGAAAACTTTTTATGACAAACATCACATTCATGTGGCTTAACCCCTAAATGAATGTTTTTGTGCCTGTTTAGAGTAGAACTGTATGAAAACTTTTTATGACAAACATCACAATCATGAGGCTTAACCCCTAAATGAATGTTTTTGTGTTTGCTTAGGGTAGAACTGTGTGAAAACTTTTTATGACAAAGATCACATTCATAAGGCTTAACCCCTAAATGGATTTTTTTGTGATTTCTGAAACTGAAACTAGAACTGTCTGAAAACTTTTTATGACAAACATCACATTCATAAGGCTTAACCCCTAAATGAATGTTTTTGTGCGTGTTTAGAGTAGAACTGTATGAAAACGGTTTATGACAAACATCACATTCATAAGGCTTAACCCCAAAATGAATGTTTTTGTGTGTGCTTAGAGTAGAGCTGTATGAAAACTTTTTATGACAAATATCACATTCATAAGGCTTAACCCCTAAATGAATTGTTTTGTGTTTGCTTAGAGTAGAACTGTGTGAAAAAATTTTATGACACACAGCACATTCATAAGGCTTAACCATTAAATGAATTTTTATGTGTTTGCTTAGAGTAGAACTGTTTGAAAACCTTTCACGACAATCATCACATTCATAAGGCTTAACCCTTAAATGAATTTTTTTGTGATTTCTGAAACTAGAACTGTCTGAAAACTTTTTATGACAAACATCACATTCATAAGGCTTAACCCCTAAATGAATGTTTTTGTGCGTGTTTAGAGTGGAACTGTATGAAAACTTTTTATGACAAAGATCACATTCATAAGGCTTAACCCCTAAATGAATTTTTTTGTGTTTCCTGAAATTAGAAGTGTCTGAAAAATTTTTATGACAAACACCACATTTATAAGGCTTAACCCCCAAATGAATTTTTGTGTGTGTGTTTAGAGTAGAACTGTGTGAAAAAATTTTATGACAAATATCACATTCATATGGTTTAACTCCTGAATGAATTTTTTTGTGTGCATTAAAATTAGAACTATCTGAAAACTTTTTATGACAAACATCACATTCATAAGGCTCCATTAAATGGACTTTCTTATGTTCACTTAAACTAGAAATGTTTGAAAACGTTTTTTGACAATCATCACATTCAAGAGGTCTCTCCCCTACTTGAGCTTGTTTATGTTTGTTCAAGTTAGATCTTTGAAAAAACTGTTCATGATGATCAACAGACAGTGTACTGTCTTCAGAAATTTTTTGCTTTTCTTCTAGTCCATTTTGTTGTTTGTCCTCAAAATCTAAAAATTGTGTCCATAAATCCTGTTTTATATTTTCACTAGTTGATAAAGTTGCTATCTCTGGTTTTATATCTTTGCTAGTTGATAACATTGCTAATTCTGATTTTATATTTTCACTTGTTGATAACAATGCTAATTCTGATTTTATATCTTCGCTAGTTGATAACGTTGCTAATTCTGATTTTATATCTTCGCTAGTTGATAACGTTGCTAATTCTGATTTTATATCTTCGCTAGTTGATAACGTTGCTGATTCTGATTTTATATCTTCTGATCCTGTACATATTGCTGATACAGCAGGTTCCATATCTTTATTAATTAAAAATCCTGTTGTTACATCTTGAGAAGTTATTGTCATATTGTGTTTTACATCATCAAAAGATGAAAATGTATATTCTGTTTTTGTTTGTCTACTAGATAAAAACTCTGGCGTAACATGGGTTTTAAAATCCTGTGAAGTTATAAAAGTCATGTCTGGTTTCATATCATGGAAAGTCAAAATTGTTGATAATTCTGTTTTTATGTCAGTAGAAGATGAAAATAATGTAGATAGCTCTGGCTTCACATCTTTAGAATATGAAAATTCTGTTGATTCCCCTGATTGTATATCTAAATCACATGTTGCCTCTCCCATGCTGCCCTGCTTCTTATAAATGAACTGCGGATAAAATATTTTAAATGTTAATTCAAATTGATTTCAAACTTTTAAATATTTGTATAGGCCTAGTAGCTACAGTAGATTGGATTTTGTAGATGCCTTATAATAATTTATCTCCTTTCTGGGATTTTCATTCAGTTTTTAGAAGTACTATAAAGTATTTATTCTTGTGTAATAAAAATTACTGAATTAAATAAAAATAAGTAGACATTTTTTATAATTTGTACTACTGCTATAACATGATTATAAATCAGGTTTTACGTTTTAATTTTTTTTAATAAGCCCAACAGAGCTACAATGTTTATTAATTTTTATTTATTTTATCTATTTTTGGTCACTCTGAACACAATAACTAGAGTACCTTTATAGCTAGGTTGATGAAATTTCATATACAAGTATGATATCAAATTTGTAGATCTATATCAATTTTTCAGCAATTTCCGGTAACTGGAAGTGGAACTTTTTCAACTTTCAATTTTTCAAAAGCCCATAACTTGAGTACTATTTCAGATAGATTAATGAAATTTAACAAATAAGTAAAGGATCCAATTCTCTCCCTACTGTCCCTACTGTCAAATTTTGAGTATTTTCCGTTGACCAAAAGTAGTAATTTAGGCTATTTCCGATTTCTAAAAAAAACACATGTGAATTTATAAAGTACTAATAATATTCAGCACTATTATACACACATCGTTAGGTTTTTCTGGGTGGGCAAATCTTTTTTAAAAGTTTAAGTTGCCATCCCCCGTAGTGTTGGATATGAATATTTGCAAAAGTTTAGGGGAGATCACTCCTGGTTTATTTTGCATTGGTGTCACCCCTCCCCTTAAATGGTGTCACCCGGTTCAGTCCGCACCCTCGCCCGCCATTCCTACGCCTCTGTGATAGAGGAAATATACAGCATGCTTAGATCATCTCACATGAGGATAAATTTTATCCTCTTCTGTTTGAGAAGAAATAAACTGATCATAATGCCTTGCTTCACTTAGTTTCTTAGACTAACCCTTACCCTTAAGCCTAAAGGCCTAGCCCCTAAGCCTAACCCTAAGTTAGATCTAATGAATTAAAAAATAATACTAATGCCATTTGCATTAATAACAAAAACAAATAACACTATCACGACATTGAAAACAGTAGGCTAAATTTGCGAGGAATGAGATATGGCCCACTAAATCTATTTCCTAGGTTGAACGCAGTCTAAAAATAGATATCATGAGGGCTCGATTTTTTTTTTGTCTTAGTAATTCAATATTGACATAAACTTTAAATGTTTTATTTCAACACCAATGTAGGCACAGTTTAATAATACAAAAAGAATAGAATCTTGGTCAATCTGGATCTAGTACTTGTAGACCGACAGTACAGTGGCAGTAGTAGGTCAGATGATAGTCCTAGATTTAGCTAGATCTTTAGAGCTATCTAATCTATCATGTGTGGTAATAGATCTAAGTTTATAAACCTATGTGAACTTACAAAAAAAAATGACCAGAAGTAGGTCTGTTTTTAAATTTGCTTGAATGGGGTGGGGGAGGGATTACATCGACAATCACAAATAGAACTTGTTTTAATTCTATGACTATACTTATACTAGATCTATAGTATAGGCCTGTTGAACTCGCCAATTTTCTTAAAAAAAAGTCCCACATGACGTTAGTAATATGAAGAAAATAAGATGTCAAAAAAAAAAAAACACTGTTTTCCGGTCGTGCAAACCCAGGGTTTGAACTCAAAGCTCCAGGGCTATGAATATTAGCTGCCACATTGTTGACTCTACCACTACCACGCCCAATGTGCTTGTAAATAAAATATTAAGCATTTTCAATCAGAAGACAGCAAATTTGAAAGGAAATAAACACTGCTTCATTAACTTACCCAGGTCAAAATATATCTTAATTTCAAACATAATGATAATATCCTATTGTATTAATTTATAGGCTTTAAGTAGTAGATTATCTATTAATGGGCCTAAATGTGTATATTATTGTAAGAGTTTATTAGTTAGATATGTATGGGGTGTTGAATAATATTCCTGATACCTATTTTGGTAATCACAAGATATAGCGTCCGTTATTATTCCGGAATTATACAGCAGTAAAAAACAGTAAAACCTTGGCGTAGCCTGTAACGCCATTCTGTTAACCTTATTTTTTTTTTGGTGCTATATTATTTTTAATACATAATTTTTTAAATGTGCATAGATTGATTTTAGTTACATTTTAAATAGCCTACTGTTTTGCTAATTATTTTGTATTTCTAATTACTCTAAGTGTATGTGCTAATTATTGCTGCTACCAAACATTGTTCTAGTTCTTCTTACTACTTTTAGTAGGCCCTAAATCTAGTAATATTCTTTTTTACTAGACTAGGCCAAGATCTAGTTATCGCAATTCTTCTGCAAGTTTTTTCCGTTTTAATTACTACACGCGACTTTATTATTAATATTTAGATTTATTAATTGTTACTAATTTTCTGTCAATTAAACTTTAAAGTAAGTTAAAACATTAATTTAATGCACTTGACTTTATTTTTATTTCAATGGTCAAATAAATTATGTTAGTAGTAGCCAGTTGCAGAGTAACGAATGTTAATGAAGCTCAACAAACATTAGGCCTACTTACTGGATAATTTCTGACTCTATATCAAATATCATGAGATTTCCCCTATTTTTAGAATGCTTTATATAGAATTCAAAAATACTTATTCACTCCAAAAAAAATTCATAAAAAACGTTTTAATAACAATTTTTTATGTAATAAAGCGTGGGTCTCTTCCTAAATATTAGTAAATAAAGATAATTAAGTAAAAATAAAGTATATAGGCCTAGTGGCCCAGGCTTTTCTTTATAGTTATATTAATAGTAGTGCATAGGGCCCTAATTTATTTTCTACTTTTCAGTGGATTATTACATAAAGCTTGGGATGATTATAGATAATGAATACCGGTGTCCGGTAATAGACTTTTCCATAAAATAGGTGGTGTGGGTTGTTAATAGTATTGCAATCTCGACTCATTTTATGGTTAGAAATTAGGGTTAGGCGTATGGTAGGACCAGGGTTGGGGTTAGGGACAGAGTTAGAATTGACATTAGCCAGCCATGTGTCTATTTAGTTAGCTACTAGATCTAGTAACATTTTTTTAAAGATTCCATTATCGGACACAGTTGTAATTGTAAATATTCCCTCTACTAAGTTTGTTATTAAAACATTTTTATGATTTTTCTTTCAGTACTTAAAAAGTTAAAATGTTCTAAATTTACAAAAGAGTTGCATGACTAAAAACTAAAAAAACCTTTGTGTACCTAATGAACGTGATAATGCGTATAATTAATTATAATAGAGTGGAATAGTTTGATGAGACAAATATAAATATTTAATAATAAATAATGTATTTTATGTAGTACTATGTAACTATGTAGGCCTAGGCCGTAGGCGTAGGCCTACCCGAATTTTTTTTTCTAGACAGACCTGAAGTGAATATTAAAGAATAACGACAGACTGACGACAGCAGATAGAATAAGAATGTCGACAGACAGAGGAAGTAAGTAAAATAAAAGCTTGTAAAAACAATACTTCACAAAGAATGTGATCGCTGTCACGACTTGCAATCCTAGCTGGTTGTGAAGTTTAGATCTGTCTTGTTGCTTGATGATAACAAAACTTTTAAAAACTACTCTTCAGTAGGCCTACTCTTCTGCCAATTAAAAATAAAAATATGTAGATCTATTACCTTTTATTAATTCGCATTATAACTCATACATACTCATATAGGCCTATATATATTATTATATATATATAGGGGCCTATATATATATATATATATATATATATATATATATATATATATATATATATATATATATATATATATATATATATATATTACAATAATTCCTCTATATCTCATATACGAGAAAAGTATAAATTGAAAACATCAATTTGTTTTTAGCGCAATTTCCATTCTGGAGAATTGCGTTTATTAACCCGTCATTTCTGGATGTATGAATGAATGGATGTGTGTCCGCAGCTTTAAGTCGTATCTCCTCCTCAACGAAGCAATATTGATGACTAGTTCCAAAAGCAATTATGTTAAACAAGTTACGAGGATGAACATAGGCTAAAAAAATTCCGGGTTTCTTTCATGGATTTCCCGGAAAAGCCAAAAAACCTTTTTAAAAATGCAGTTTTTGTCCCATATCTCGGCAACCAGACCATTTAGCGACTTGAAACATGTACCAATCGATTCCTGCCGTAATTTAGAACAATATTGCCGAATAAAGTTTTCAAAAATATCCTTTCGTTCGGACACAATTTTTTTTTTAATTAATTAAAATTTGGACCGAATTAGTAGGCATTTTTATCTAACCACACCACATGCGTCATCACGTTCAATAGCTGCGCCATCACGTTCAATGGCTGCGACATCACGTTCGGTAGCTAGGCGCGCAATGGTTTTTAGTCATGTAACTCTATTGTAAATAAAACATCTAAAATACTGAAAAAAAATGAATTAAAAACGTTTTAATAACTAACCAATGGTTTTACTAACCCTGCTCTTGATTTACGCTACTACAGAGCTATTTTTAGATAACATAAGGAAATTGCGCTAAAATTGTCACTAGACTTTTTAATTACCTTGTTTTTCCTTCAAGCTCCAAGACACATGGGGCCCCAGCAGAAAGTTCTTTCCAATATATAGATACTAGCTGCATCCCGTGCTCCGCCACGGTAAATATTTTTTAAATGTACCAACTTGGGAACAGAACAAAACTAAACACAACATAAACGAACGCAAAAAAAAACAAACAAAAAAAAACGAAAAAACAAACACAACACTCACAACAAACACAATTTAAATGCAATCATAAAGGCATATTGCTCACAGTCTAGCCCGTAGCGCCAAATCGCGCCCTTTCCAGTGATTTGCACCCCCCTCAAACTTTCGATTTGCACCCCTTCCCCCCCCCCCCCGCCCTAAAACTTTCGATTTCCACCCCCCCCCCCCCTCGCAAATTTTTTCAAACCCACTTTGGCGCCCCCTAAGGTCGGCACCCGGGGACATATGCCCCCCCCCCATCGCAACGCCTCTCCTATAAAACCCCTAGCTTGTCCGCAAACCGAAAGAATAATAATTAGAAAACAGTATAAATAATAGGTAGTATTTAAAATATCCGTGTTTTACCTACAATATTTCACTTTATCCATTCACGCATTTTTTTTCCAGTACTTTAAATTTTAAAAATTTACAATTGAGTTTCATATCTAAAACCATTGCGCACCTAATGAACGTGATGACGCGCCTATAATAGTGCTGAATAGTTGATTAAAAATTATAAGTAATAAACAGTAGGGCCTACATTCAGTGAATAAAATAAATAAAAGATTGCCTTTTATCAATCCATGCTAATTATAATTTTCTAACAATAATTTCCTCTTACACATCCGAATAATTTGCATTCACATTTTGCTAATTATATTATTGCAACACTAATTCCTTCTATGACGAACGTATATTTGCATTCACATTTTTTATTAGCGTGAGTTTAATGTATTTTTAAATTACCTCCTTTGTCAAAATTAGAAAAGAGTTAAATTAATTTGATTTTTCTACCCGACTGTTATTACGTTATTAAAATGTTTACATCTTTTCAAGGCATAAATAAGAAAATAATATTTGACATTGATCTTTTTAATACGTTTTAGCAATGTGCGAGTATTTAATATTTTTATAACGTTATGCAAAAAAGTAAACACAGTGTCATTTATAAAATTGCTCTATGTCGCTATATAAACAAACCCTACTCTAACACTTATAATAAGACACTGCGGTGCACTGAAAAGCACAGCATGGTGCGAATGTTTACTTTTATGGTTCCAAAAGCTATAGCGATGACAGAAGGAAGGAAGGACTGACACACGCTCAGCCCGCTTATATTATAGATTATATTATAGATACTAGGCATACTGCCTAGCTTCGCTTAGGTTTTCAAAAACATTTGAGAATTTGAATACTTAATTATTTAGTGATGGCTGAGGTGTGGAGTGTTTAAATTTAAACAGTAATGCTAATTTTAGAGAAAATGATGTTGTTTGTTGTTTAAAGTCCGTTTTCAGAGAAAATATTGAAAAGTTCGCAATGTATGACTAAAATGGAATTATCTACAGAGGTTCCATGAACAGTATAATTTATATTACATTGACTTTTAAAATTTATTTATTTATTTAATTAGGATACGCACCTTAATTAACAACTTAATTTTTTTTACTGAAGCAAATGCTATACTTCGTCATTTTCTGTTTATGTTTAAAATAGTATACAAATACAATTGTTTGCCCTCGTTGAGGGCTTTGAGTCTGAGCAACAGTTTTTCCATACGGTCTAGTCATCTATAGAGATACATGCAAAAAATTAGACAGATATACAGAGGTTAAATACCCTAAAATTTGTGTTGAAATTACCCATTTTTCACACAAAACACTTAGATTATATAGGGAAATACGACTGGTCAGTTTTGACCCATTTCCAGATTTTTCCCGGATATGGTGAGTTTTTTCTGACACCCCTCGGCGTTCATCTACCACCTGACAAAATATCAAGGGGGGCCGTTGAGCTAAAGTTTTTTTCGAAATATAGCTCATAAAAAGAGAATTTAACTCGCGGTCTCCTTCAACTGCCCAGTGTCACCCGAACTCAGACGTAATTTTGTCTTTGAAAACATAGATTTCGGCTGATCATTGGTCTGACCACATTATCTCTTCATATGCTGACGTCACAAGTGAACTATACACCTACCAAACTCTACTTCACCTGCCCAGTTTCCCACCAAGTCTCAGACAACATATTTTAATCGTTTAAAAAAAATATTCCGGCCGAGCATGGCTCTGACCACACTATCCCTTCATATGCTACATAATGCGTTATACTTTTGAATGGGCAATAAAATCTTCGATGGAAGCCGCCATTATTGTTGTAAAAAGTAAATAAAGCATGTGACGTCCTTATTCGCTATAAGTAAAGTCATTGTTTTGAACTTTTATAGTTAATGTGGTTAATCTACCAATGAATAAATCAATAAATTAATAAACGTCTTTAAATAAATTTGTAATTAACAGTCTGTTTAAATAAGAAATATTGTTCTCTACCTAAATACTATTTTACAGCTCTACACATAGTGCAGATTCTCTCCTGTAACGAAACGGAAAAAAATAAAAATAAATAAATATTCAAACATGTAACCAAACTTGATTTTTAGTATACATACATACATACATATATATATATATATATATATATTCATATATATATATATATACATGAATATATATATATATATATATATATATATATATATATATATATATATATATATATATATATATATATATATATATATATATATATATATATATATATATATATATATTCATATATATATATATATTCATATATATATATATATATATATATATATATATATATATATATATATATATATATATATATATATATATATATATATATATATTCATGTATATATATATCTAATATATAAAGCTCAATTCTGTAACGCATATGTTTGTCGTTGGCATTTCTACGGATTTAAGTGTTAGATCAATTATCGTGCGCATTTGTCTAAATTTATGAGTTAAAAAATTACTATTAAAAGTGTTGGGAAATCATTTTCATTTTTCAAATTACAGTAATAATTGTCGGCATGTTCATTAAACACAAGTTTTAAAAAAAATATCATCTTTTACAAAAATTCTAATTATGTCTTTCTTTAGTCCTATAGCGCTTACTTCCCTTTGATAAATTAGGCAAACACAATTACTTCCCTTTATAAAACCATTGCATTAGTTGAAAAGCATTTACTTTTTAATTACTTTGTTTTGGTGTTGGGAAAAAAATAATTACATAATTAGCGGGAATTGATCAAGTGCAAATGTTGTAGGTATTTTACGGATAAGCTTGGAGTATTATAATTGTTCATTAAATTGAAACAGGCGCGTTCGTTTAAGTGAGTGCAAAAACTATGAATAAGTTGGGGTACTATAGTCGTTTATTAAGCTAAAACAGGCGATTCTGCCCCGGGCGTTTATGTTCGCGTTAGTGTTTTCTTTGTGTTTAGGTGGGTTTGCGTTAGTGGTTGCGTTTTGATTTGGTTCGTTTTTGTTCTTTCTTTTTTCGTTTTTGTTTGTGTTTTTTTTTTGTTTGGGTTTGTATTTGTGTTTTTGGTTGGTTTTGCGTTTGGATTTGGTTTGTTTTCGTTCTTTCTTTTTTCGTTTTTGTTTGTGTTTTTTTGTTTGGGTTTGTATTTGTGTTTTTGGTTGGTTTTGCGTTTGGATTTGGTTTGTTTTCGTTTGCTTTTTCGTTTTTTTTTTGTTTTTTTTTTGTTGGTATTGGTGTTTGTGGTTGGGTTTGTTGTTAGGTTTTTGTTTTCGTTTGCTTTTTTGTTTGTTTTTTCTTTGTGTTTGTATTGGTGTTTGTGGTTGTGGTTGGGTTTGTTGCTAGGTTTTTGTTTTCGTTTGTATTTGTAATTGTGTTAGCGTTATGTTTGCGTTTTGTTGTTTTGGTTTTGGTTGGTCGTGGTTTGGGTGAGCAATGCCGGGTTTATGATGATTACTA